CCAACCTTGGCAACCTCGTGAGATCCTGTCTCAAAACAAACAAACAAAAAACCAAAACCGCCGGGCGGTGGTGGCGCACGCCTTTAATCCCAGCACTCGGGAGGCAGAGCCAGGCGGATCTCTGTGAGTTCGAGGCCAGCCTGGGCTACCAAGTGAGTTCCAGGAGAGGCGCAAAGCTACACAGAGAAACCCTGTCTCGAAAAACCAAAAAAAAAAAAAAAAAAAAAAACCAAAACCAAAAACAAAAACAGCGCTGAGGGACAGCAGAGGAGCCTGTCTTGCTCAGATAGGAGGTTCTAGCCAGGAGGTACTGGGTACAGAAGCAATAACAGTGAGTGTAGGCTCTCCATGAGCATATACACACAAACAAACACAGACAGACATGCGCTCTCTCTCTCTCTCTACACACACACACACACACACACACACACACACACACAAACACACAAACACTGGCACATGCAAACATGCAGAGGTGCACACAGGTGTACATAAACTGATATTCAGAGACACACATGAGCATTCATAGCAAGCATGTACTCGAAGATGCACATAAGCATGCATACTGACATGTACATAGGTGTTCACACATAGACATGCACAAAAGCATACACACAAGTCATAGACAAGCACGTACACACAGGCGAGTTTTCAGACCTACACAGGTGCACACACAGGCATATACACAAGCAAGCACACTGACATATATAGGGTTCACATCCAGGCACACAGATACACAGGTGTAAGACCCTTGCACCTGTGGTCACACATGCAGGTGACAAATGCACACCCAGAAATGGACACAGCTCTGGTGCACAGCCCAGGCTAGGCATAGTCCCAGCTCTGGCATGAGATATCCGGGAGTCAGCAAGATCCGTCTCCTCTGTTTCCCAAGCTTTAGACCACTTCACAATCACCAGGAGACCTGGAAGCTTCCCCCTCCTAACTCCCAGAGGCCTGACATACAACAGATATTTGATAGATAATTTTGGACTGAACTGACTGCTAGAAGTCATAATAAGTACACAGTGAGTCCAGAATCCACTACCCTGTTTTCCTGGTGGTGTGGTGACATAGTCCACAGTCTTGGATTTCTGATGTCTCCTACTTCCCAAGACAATGTCCATTTACTACACCACCTCTCCCCAACTGAGAGCTCACTCCTCCATTTCTCTTCTCAAACCACATAGGGTCCAAGAAAAGCCTGTGCCCGCTTCATCCAACCAACCTCAGGAGCCTCCAAAATTGGAGTCCTGGACTGGAAATTCCTAGGAAGGTGTCTGGGACACACAGCAACCAGGATTTCAGAGCCCCAACCACCTCATGACCCTCAGCTTCTGCTCTGAAGGCAGACCTGCCCCATGCAGAAGTTGAGACTTTTGCTTTGGACCATCTGTCCTATAACCCATTGAGGGGACAATACAATGCCCCCCAACACAGGAACTTTCACAGGCCTCAGTCTCAAAAGCCTTATCCTGCCCTAACTACGAAGAGAGTGATGTGACGTGGTGCTTAGCAGACTCCAGGTCCAAGGCTTCCGAGTATGTCTGACCCACCCCTGCAAGCTGTGTGTAACTCAACTGTCCCCGGGAGTTGGTGTGAGGCCTCATCACTGGGAACAATGGGTATATCAAAGAGACCTCAAATATTTAGGGATAGCACACACACTCACACTGCAGATAGCTTTCTTCTGATTAGCAGACAAAGCCAGCCACTGGCTGCCTCTCTATCTTTCTGGGTACATCAGAAGGTGAAGCCGAGATGGAGTCTCACGAGCCCACTGGCATGAGAACCTCTTCTTCCAGGTCCCTGAAGAGCCTCAACGGGCACCCGCTGATCTGAGAACATGTGGGCCCAATGGGTATAAGTATCAGAGTAAAGTGGATTGCTAAGAGAGTTCTGGCAGGGTGAGCCCGGGGTCCTGCTCCTGTCTGTCGTCTGCGCATGCGCAAGGGGATGCGGGGGGGGGGGGGGGGGGGGGGGGGGCACTCCCGTCAAAGGAAAGGCGCCCAGATGGGGGATCCAGAAGACACTAGTAGGCGCCCTGCCCAATGTCTGTGTGGCTAAGCCCAATGTCTGTGTGGCTAAGCAGTACAGGGGATCCTACTACCGTAAGGGCTTCATGCAAAAGAATCAGAAAGCAGACCAGAATAAAGCTGACGCCCACCCCGCAGACAGAGCAGTCACCCACACAGGCAGAGCAAGAGCAGCACCAGGGCAGACAGGTTGAGCTACCAAACAAGGTGCTGCTCCCCGACTGGCCCTCAGAGGAGAGCAACAGGCTGAGGGAGGACACACCCTTCTCCAAACCGCTCTTTGTGTACAACAAAAATACCGTGGGGCATTCCAGGGGTGGGGTCATTCCAGGGGTGGGGTCATTCCACACTGGCTGCTGCTGTGGTAATGCCTCCTGTTTCTGAGTCTTGAGAGGAGGAACAGTTCATGGGTTATAAGAAAGGCTAAGTGACAAGAGTGTGTCAGGTCTAAGGATGTGACAATAGAAGGCAGCTAGCTTCCCAGACTCCTTTCTTGATCACTTCCAACCCCTGGGCCTTCTGGCTCTCTTCTACCCAGTCTCTTGCCTCAGGACCCCCATCCCTGGGGATGTAGGGATTACATCGTGCAGTCTCCTAGTCCTCACTCTTTTCAGTCCCTTAAGTCATGACTGACAAGTGGGCATGTACACACCTTATCACTGCAACTGGATTTGAATATTTTTAGGGGGCATTGAGATAAGTCAAACTCTAGGCTGGTCTTGAACTTTCAGCAATCCTCCTGTCTCTACACCCGAAGTGCTGAGACCACAGACACATACCACCAGGCCCAGCTAGCGTACACTTCTTAATTGGTAGTCGCCACCCTCCTCCACACTTGGATTTACATGGTCTGAGACAAGCTCAGGCAGAGTGATCCTTGGGGAGCAACATTTCGGGCACTTCTAGTGACTGCGACCCACATGTCATAGAACAAGCGATGGTACAACAGGCTGGAGACCAGGAGCCAGCTTCCTAACTCTCCAGAAGGACCAGAATTCTTATGAGGAAGCTAGGAATGCCCTCACCATGGTGCCGCCTTCTCCTGCCAGCTACCTCGGACAAAACGCCCCTTGCCACTGTGTCCTCCCACCTGGGGGACATAAAGGAAACAAGGACAGTGACTTGGGTCCTCCTGACCAGTGGCTCGGTCTGCCTGGCCACTTTTCCCCTTGCTCAGCATTTACTCAACAACCAGCAGATGGTGCAGAAAATGAGCCGGCTGGCCCCTAAGCCGGCCCTAAGAGCAGCCTTGGCATGTGATCGCCAGAGAGCCAAGGCAGCATGCTCAAAAGGGACCAGAGTTAAGCTCTCCGTCTGAGAAACGGTTTTCCAGGTGACACCACCTCACCTTACATTTGCAGCTTGCAGGAACCACCCCATCTTTATCCAGTTACAAAACCCGTGTGTCATGAAGCTGATGGCCTGGATTGATTTTCAGGTTTAAAAGCAGCGCTCAGACAAGCCACGCCCATTACCCCTGGACTGGAAAATACGCTGACCAAGAGGACCACTAAGAAGGCTCCGAGCAGAGACCCAATATATATATATATATATATATATATATATATATATATATATATATAAAATTAAATATAAATATATATATACACATACATACTCCGCTAAATATTACATCTGATTGGAGGAGGGGTGCAGGGTCTCATGCTGTAGCTCAGGCTACCCCGGAACTCACAGCAATCTTCTGGCTTAGCTACCCAAGTGCTAAGATCACAGGTATGAACCACCACACCTAACATGTCTGGTCTCTTTCCTCCTCTCTTCTTTACCGACAGAGTCTCATATACCTCAGGGTGGCCCCAAACTTGCCATGCAGCTGAGGCTGGCCTAGAACCCCTGATCCTCCTGCCTCCACTCATCAAGTACTAGGATTTCAGGTGTGCACCAACATAGCTGGTATCTGTTAGTCAAAAATATTTCTTCCAAATTTTCAGTCGGCAGTTTCTACCATGCAAGCACAATTCTGCCCCTCGGCGGTCAGACCCATTGTTCACGGCACCACTGACCTGCACCCCAACGAGAACTTTTTTTTTTTCATCAAAACGTTTTCTTTGGAAAAACAGAGATACTGTTCAAATGGCTGCTTGCACGGCGCCTCTACCAAGGAGACACTTAAATCACCCCCATCGGGTGACACAGTTAGAGCTCGCCCCCTGGGCAGAGTACTAGTAAAAATGGACATTTTAGTGCCCAGAAAGCTAATGGGAACTGGAGAAGGCAAGGATAACGTCACAGTGTCATTACGCCTTTGTGAAATGCTGGACTTGGTATTTGTAAAGCTTCCTGCAATCCCTGTACTCTCATTAAGTAAAGACACAGCCACAGGAGCCCTCCTGCAGTTCTTTAGCTTATTAACTCCAGGTCTCATAAAATGAAGCTGGTGAGCCTGTAAAAAGAGCTCAGGTTCAATTTTATGGCTTATTTCTTGGGGCTTCTCCGATGAGCTCAGACAGCACGCCTTAAAAAACCTCCTGCAGCTGGGGAGCTGGGTGTGCCACCAGACAGCCCTGGTGAAGCAATCCTGTGGAATGAGTTACTAATTCACAGTACAGTAGGGCTCCTAATCCCAAAGGTTCAAAACATCTCATCAAAACCAAGCCCGCCCCACCATTACTCCCAACAGGCCGTGTCTGGCCCCAAAGTGGGGCCAACACGCAGATGGCCTTTCAGGCTATGGGGTAGGTGTCTTAAGATGAGCAAGGGAGACAGGGCAAACGAGTTCAGGCACCCCTTGCATCAGCACCGAATACGATGTGCACAGAAGACTCCCGGTGGGTCCTCCCCACTTTCGGAACAGAGTGGGGTCACCTGCGATTAGAGTCCGAGGATAGGATGGCCCCAGGACCCGCGCCTCGCCCCCACCCTCTCCACCTGCGGCTGAGGAGACCTGTCCCTGGCCGGAGGATGGAGGGCGACTCCGGCAGGTGAGCGTCTCTCGGGACTCACCTGCGTGAAGTATAAGTTCATGAGCGTGAGGGTGAAGAACTGCAGACACACGGGGAAGCAGTAGAGCAGCCAGAAGACGAAAGGGCTGAACGAGTTGGCTGCCACGAAGTCTCGGAAGTAAAAGGAGAAGAGCACAGTACGCAGCGAGGCCCAGAAGAGGCAGAGGAAGAGGAAGACGCTCTGGTAGCTGAGTCGCTTGTGGCGGTAGCGCAGCACCAGCCAGAGCTGCGCGTAGATGAACACGAAGAGGAGCGCGTAGAAGGCGGTGTAGACCGCGGTGAGGCCGAGCTTCACATAGGGCGGCACGGCCGGGCTCAGCGTGGGCGGCAGCGAGTCGTTGCGCACCGGCTCCCACGGAGGCGGCTCCATCGGGCTGGGGCGGCTCGGGCTTCATCGGGGCTCGCAGCCGTCCGCTGCCGGGTACCCGCGCATCGCGCCGCACCCGCCGCTCCAGAGCCCAGCCGGGAAAACAAGCCGCACTTCCTCCCGCCGCACCACATGATCTGCTGGGCGGCCTTTGTCTGCGATTGGCAGCGCCGCGCCCCCAGGAGCGCGCGCCCGCACCCGGCCCGCCCATCCCGGCCCTGCGCGCCCCTGGTGCGCGCGCCCCGGGGACAGCGGCCCTGGAGCTGAAGCGGGATCGGTGCTCGCGTGCGTGCCAAGTACCCTTGTGACTATGCTCACCCACGGCCAAGACTAAGGATGATCCTCACGCCGGCCCACAGCGCCTCCTAACCTGCGTCCACACGCCTCTCGGGATCCCAAGGCTGGGGTTGGAGAAACATCTGTGCCCCCAACCCGTGCGCTCCCCATTATCTCGCAGCTGGCGCTGGGGATGGGACTGGGAACATCCACGTCTGGGATCCATGTATTCCCCCAAGATCCCATCGATGGCGCTGGGGAGCATCCGCGTGCCCCTGCACTGTGCGCCCCTCTATAGCACGCACCCCTTATAGCACGCACCCCTGACCAGTGCATCTCCTTGACTTCTCGCGCCGTCTAATGACCCTGACCTGCGCATCCCCTCTCTCACATGCAAACTATGCGCCCCTGAGTCCACTACAAGCTTGCGCGCTCCGGTTGTGGGAGTCTGTGGTTGGTGTTTCGTTGGGGGTGTGGCTTGGGGGCGTGTCTGCGCGCTTGACCTCGCGTTTTCTGCTGATGCCTGGTTTTTGCACTTCACTCTTTTATTTAAAAACCAAACCACTTTGCAAGTTCCTTCTCCCGTACACCCACGCGGTCACCCGCCTTTAAAAATAAAATTGTGACCACGAGCTGGCCAGCTTCTGCAGCGCCGATGAACTCTAAATGGCCAAATGGCTGCAATCTCGCCGGCCTGCGCTGATTAACTACTGCTTTTAGACCTAGCTGCAGTGTTCTCCCAGAACACCCAACTGCAGGCGGTAGTGCGGCTGCGCTCTGGTCCCCAGAGCAGAGGAGCACTAAGGGTTAGGTGAGACAAGCGCAATCCGATCCACCCAGATACCCTGTCCTTCCTCTGGGCTGCTGCTGCTCAGAGGTTCTCTCCTCTCAGGTGAAGTTGACTCGGTTTATTCCCGACCCTGCGCCACACTACCTATTTTATAGTGGTAGTGTTGGGAGTTGGTAACTTCTGAGCTCTCAAGAAACCAAGTTGCCTGTATGCAGGTGTAGCTAGGGGAACAGTTAGGATAAGCAGAAGGAAAACGCGGATTTTCCAAGAGACAGGTCCGTCTCTTCTGATTCCCTTTCTCATTTTTTTTTTTTGATCAATATTCAATGTCGTTCCTAAATACATGTTCTTTTAGCTTAAGAAGCCAGGCCTAAGATGAAACTGGCTTTTCCTTAAAATTGGGATTTACACACTCTCTCCCGACTAAACAGGTCAACGTGCCTTCGGAGTAGAGTCTCTTATCTGATTCTAATCTTTCCCTGTAGATGCCGAGCTGGTCTGCCTCTTCTGAATTGATCCACTTCAGTGGGTTCTGCACAGAACAGATGACTCCAGCTTTCTAAATCACATCTGCCTGTTATTCTCAAGCTTGAGTCTGACTGCACCTTCTCAGGATCGGGACCCCCTCACTGAGCTCCCGAGGAAGGGTGAACAGTACCAACGCCTGGCAACTCGATGAGCAAGACAACTCTTTCATGCCTTCCTCAGTCTCTCACCCAGTCCTTTCACCTCTCTGTATGGGGTCATTTCCTCCAGAAACTGTTTTCAAGACAGGTCTCAATTTGTACGCTATCCTGGAACTGACTGGGCTTTGAGATCAAGACCACCCTGCCTCTACCTCCTGGAGCACCAAAGCACTTAATAGACCACAACATCTACCATGTGCCGGCCACTTAGGATAAATGCTCTGTGTCTTTCCAGAATATCCCTGTCTAATTGGCAGTCATCTTGACATCTGTGTAAGTTTCATTGGGACAGAAATATTGTCTTGTTTACCATAGGCTCTCTTGGCACATTGTAGAAACAAGTCTCCATTTTATTATACTGAAGGAATATAATTTGTCCTTAGAAACCAACCTTTAAAATTTGTCCTATACTATGCAAGACTATCTCTTGATCCAAGGTGGCTGCTTACTCTCCAACTATTGTGTCCACAGCCCATGCAGGCATCAGAAAAAAACCAGAGAACTGAAGAGTATTTTACCTGTCTTGTTTATGAAGTCATCCCAGAAATTATGTACATGCATCTGATTTCTACTCATTAATAGACTTTGATTACCTTAGTAAGCTAGCTACAGAAGAGGCTGACTAATATTATTCATTCTGTATAGTGCTGTACAGTTCTGACAGTCATACTTCTGATATTACGGATGAAGGAGAATGAACTGAGAGAGGAACAATCCATCTACACCACATGTTCAAGAGAATGCCAACAATAGCTAGGCATGGATGATGCTTAATATTGATTGTTGACTTGACGGGATCGACAGGCAACACACTTCTGGGCATGTCTGTGAGGAAGGTACTAAGTTGAGTTAACTGAGTTGGGAAGACTCATCCTAAACATGGATGGCACCATTCTATGAGCTGGAGGCACAGGCTGTATAAAAGGAAGAAAGTAAGCTGAACACCAGCATTCGTCTATTTCTACTTCTTGACTATGGATGCAATGTGACCAAATGCTTCACACTCCTTCTGCCATGCCTTCTCCACCATGAGAATCTGTATCCTCAAACTGTGTGCCAAAGCAAACCCCTCCTTAAATTGTTTTCATTGGGTATTTTTCCATAGCAGCTAGAAAAGTAACTAACACAGATGGTTGCTTTTCTTAAGTATTAAGATGCCTATCACTAGTTGGTCGTCTACTGTAAAAAACAGTAGAAGAAAACAGATGGAAAAGTATGACTACTTCAAACAGATAGAAACATACCTAGGACAAGGCAAGGACAAGCTAAAGCAGAAGTTAGAGTCCTTATTGCACAAATGGTCCTAAAGCTAGGGATGGTGTTAGTGACTCCTCACTTTGAGGCACATTATGTAATCTCTGTCCCTTTTTATGTTGTTTTATGTGTTGTGGATGAAACCCAAGGTCTGGTGAGTACTAGGAAAGTGCTCTAACTTTGACCCACAACCCCAGTCCTCCCTATCTCTACCAGGTCCCTTGTTGTAGCCCACTAGGTTTCCTAGTGGCTGTACCCAGCAGGACTGCATAACAGGTTGATTAGACCACGGATCTGAGTATCAGATGTTTGGAAGGGTCTACACTTGACTGTAACTAGCAAGGGGGAGGTCTTTTGCTCCACCCCTTGGCATTATTATAAATAGACCTTTGAAATAAAGTTCAGGGCCACTGGATAAAGATCCAGGCCCACTTGAGTCTATCCTGAATTTCTCTCTATTTCTTAGTCTCTTATTCCTCATTCCTCAAGAGTTCCTAGGGAAAATAAATGTAGGGGCTGGTCCCCCACATTCCCTTGTCAGGGGGATCCTCACGAGGGTCTTAGCTTGTGAGTGTTTGCCCTTGGATGTGCCGCTAGTGGGAGGGCACATTTCCATGGCTGGATGTCATCCACTCATGGATGTCATTTCACTCATCACGTAAGCACAACCCTTGATCACCACTGTCATCAGAGCAAATATGGTCATCATAATAATGACTGTCATCCCTGTCATCAGCAGCAGCATAGTCATCACCATCACCGTAGTCAATACTGTCATCCCAACTGTTACCATCATAGTCTTCACTGTCATCTTAGTCATCACAGTCTCCATAGTCATCACTGCCATCACAGCCAATACCATCATCATAGCCTTCAAAATTATCATAGTCATCACCAATATATCCCGTCATCATAATCATAGCCATCACAGCCATCATAGCCATCACAGCCATCATAGCCATAACAATCATTATAACCATCACAATCATAACAGCCATCACAGTCATCACAGCCATCACAACCATAAGAGCCATGACAGTCATGATAACCACACAGTCATGATACCCACCACAGTTATGATACCCACCACAGTCATCAAAGCTATCACAGTCATCATAGCTGCCACAGCCATTGTAGCCATAATAGCCATCACAACCATCATACCCACCACAGCCATCATAACCACCACAGTCATCATAGCCATCACAACCATCATACCCACCACAGTCATCACAACCACCACAGTCATCATAGACACCACAGCCATGATAACCACCACAGTCATCATAACCACCACAGTCATCAACCACCACAGCCATGATAACCACCACAGTCATCATAACCACCACAGTCATCATAACCACCACAGTCATCATAACCACCACAGTCATCAACCACCACAGTCATCATAGCCACCACAGTCATCATAACCACCACAGCCATGATAACCACCACAGTCATCATAACCACCACAGTCATCAACCACCACAGCCATGATAACCACCACAGTCATCATAACCATCATAGCCACCACAGTCATCATAGACACCACAGTCATCACAACCACCACAGTCATCATAACCACCACAGTCATCATAGCCACCACAGTCATCATAACCACCACAGTCATCATAACCATCATAGCCACCACAGTCATCATAGCCACCACAGTCATCATAGCCACCACAGTCATCATAACCACCACAGTCATCATAGACACCACAGTCATCATAACCACCACAGTCATCATAGACACCACAGTCATCATAACCACCACAGTCATCATAACCACCACAGCCATCATAACCACCACAGTCATCATAACCACCACAGCCATCATAACCACCACAGCCATCATAACCACCACAGCCATCATAGACACCACAGTCATCATAACCACCACAGCCATGATAACCACCACAGTCATCATACCCACCACAGTCATCATAGCCATCACAGTCATCATAGACATCACAGCCATCATAACCACCACAGTCATCATCATAACCACCACAGTCATCATAGCCATCACAGTCATCATAGACATCACAGCCATCATAACCACCACAGTCATCATAACCACCACAGTCATCATAACCACCACAGTCATCATACCC